TCTGCTTTCAGGACATTTGGGTGTGTTAGGAATTATTACTTAATGGATGTGGAGTTTCCATCTGGAAATGGATGGAGGTGATGTTTGCAGGACAATGTGAATATACTGAAAGCCACTGTGTACCCAGAAGTGTGTTTGCTGAATCATATGGTAGTTCTACTTGTAACTTTTTTGGGGAGCCACCATACTGTTTTCCATGGTAGTGGGAGCCTGTATGGCAGCCTGTATGGCTCTCCTGCTGGGTTAAATTTGATTAGCTTAATAAAACTGACAAATTGAACATGGAGACAGAAAGCAGTAACATTTTATTAATTTTGCCTTTTGGGCCCAAACCTGCTAACGCAAGGAAACCTAATATAGACAGAATTATTCATCATTTATCATGAGAAGGCAACACAGAATATACATATATATATATATAAAACCTCCCTCTTCCTCATTTTACAGACTGGTGATACAGATGGATAAGCACGTCTTTTCCACATATTTTCCGAGTAGACAGGAAGGGTCAGTGGCATCTGGGCCCAGGCAGCTCTGAGGAGGGACCAGACATCCCCACCACCCAGGTTAGTCTAGAAAAGGACACATTTTCTCTGCATTTGCCTCTGAGCGCCTGGACGTGAAGGGGATGGTAGTACTTGGTGGTTAAGGCAGTGGCTGTGTTACAGAAGGGGGACCCCTCCCAGGCCTGAGGGTGGGCTCTTGTCTTAACACTCAGAAGTGAATTGTCTGAGGAGACGATAAGAGTCAGGCTCACACCCTGAGGTTATGGTAAAAGCTGGTGAAGCAGAAGGCTTTACTGGGAAGGGTCACCTGGTGGGAGGACAGTGGAGTCAGGGAACCCAGGAGACCTGCTCCACTGTTTGCTCCCAGTCTCAGGGTTTATGGTGATGGGTTAGTTTCCTGGGTCATCACTGGATAGTCATCTTGTTTGGCCTGTGTCAGGTCCAATTCCTGATGCTGAGGGCATCTCAGACAAGGCTTATCCCAGCTCGAGGACTTCTGGGAGGTTGGTGGGATGTAGTATGGGTTGGCATCTTCTCCCTCCTTTTGGCCTCTCCCAAATTCTTTCTTATCCTTATTGGGACCTCCTGTTGTGAGATAATTCATGCTGTCAGTGTCCTGCCTGGCCAGGCAGGTGGCTTCAGTTATTGGTTCCTAAACCTCTGTGGGGATCTTAGGTCATTGGTTTTGTTACGGTTGAAATAAAATATGAGGTTTACTTTCAGTGAGTCAAGGATCTGGGGCTTCGGGTGTGAAACGTGAGAAGCACTAAGCAGTGAGTGGTGGAGAAGTGGGTTCAGCCCTGTGGCCACGGCTCCTAGGCCCTCCGGTCACTGGCCTTCTTTCCCTGGACCTGCTGCTTCCTCTTACCAAGCTGGAGGGACTCCCTCAGGGTGTAAGCCTGACTCTTATCTCATTCTGATAAGCCTGCCTCTTGGGAATGAGATGAAATTCACAGTTGATGGCAAGATGAGGAAAACCTCAAAATAAAATTTTTCTCTGCCCATTTGGGCCTCCTCCCCCCTTTCGTGCATGCTCTGCACATGCACTGACCAGCTCTCCTGAGAGAGGGGCTTCCTTCTTCTTCCTGTAGGGGGCCTGGTGACCCTCCACCCACCAGTTGTATGTACAGGTCTGCATTGTGTAAACTGTCAGTGAAACATTTGATGCATGACCCCTTGCTCAGAAGCAAAAGGCTGAATCCCAGGCTGGCTCGAGTAAAATTCTCCCATTTCTTTCTTGGATGAACTGTTGGTTAATTTTCCCATCAACAATAGAAAGACTTTTTTTTTTTTTTAAAAGCACTTTTGTGAACATAGTGTCAGTGTCCGAAACAGCAGTGGGGGGTGGATGCTGTGACCCTGTGAGACCAGGGGTTCGGGGACTCACTGAGGACCCCAAGCGGAGCTGCAGTCAGTTCTCACAGGTCAGTGCAGCTCTCTCTGTGTGGTGGAGGGTGAAGCATGAAGAGGAGGCAGGGCCGCTTGGTCTTGCTCTTTCTAGCACTGCTGGCCGCAGGGCAGCGACTGGTCATCCATGGCGGCAGTTTTCTTTCCATCTGGGCAAGGAGGTGGTGAGGCTGACTGTAGGCTCCATGAGAGCAGGGAGCTGTCAGAAGCAGCTGTGGTGGGAGTGATGTCCGGGCCCCTAGTGTGGGTCTTGGAGTCGAGCCCAGCCCTGTTCCCCCACCCCATCAGCCCTGGAAACACTGCCTTCACTTGAGAAGCTGAAGAGGGTGAGCTATGACGTTGAAGACAGTGAGGGGAACTTGACTTTGATGGAAGGTACAGTGGGTTTTGGAAAGAGGAAGAGCCGTTTCCAAGATTTGAGGAAAAGGAATTCTGTTGGAAGGATTCAGTGTCAGAAGTTGTCAAATACAGTTTCACTCTTATGGGGAGTTTTGTGTATTTTTCAGTGATCACACACTACCAGGTTCACGTGGCCTTAGGGTGTTCTTGAGAAGACAAGTCTCAGTACCAGCAGGCTGGCCTGCTGCCCCTTCTTCCTCCTCTTCTCCCTCCTTCCCTCTAGGTCCTCTGGCTGAAGGGCTCTTTATGGAGGAAAGAACACAGGAGCCTGGGGAAGGGCAAGGCCCTGGGCCCTTATCTAAGCTGACAGCTGTGGGCGGTACCCAGTGGCAAACCCTGTGTCCTCCTGCTCCTGTCCCCCCCACTCCTGTGTCCCCCCCCTCCTGTGTCCCACCCCACTCTTGTGTCCACTGCCCAGCTGAGCAGCTGGGGTGTCTCCCCTCTGTACTCCGAGGTCTCCGTCCCTACCACAACTGCCGGGAGCAGGGTTCCATGACGGAGCAGTGGGCGTGGAGGAGCCACTCAACTTGTCTTTTAGGCTTCCTCGCTGGGAAGCCGGGAAGCCGGGAAGCACAGCACAGAGGCCGCAAGGATGGGTTCCCTCCCTCCCAGTCCCTCCCAGTGGGACATCAGGTCCTCGCAAGTTTCAGTTGCTGCTGGGCCTTAGCTTTCAGGATTGTAGGATAGTCTAGGCCTTTTGAGAGAAGATGGGCAGTGAGAACAGATGCCTTTCATTTATTTTTTCTTTGCCCTGTTTTTAAAAAAAAATAATTTATTTTTTAATTGAGGGATAATTGCTTTATAGAATTTTGTTGTTTTCTGTCAAACCTCAGCATGAATCAGCCATAGGTATACATATATCCCCTCCCTTTTGAACCTTCCTCCCCTCTCCCTCCCCATCCCACGCCTCTAGGTTGATACAGAGCCCCTGTTTGAGTTTCCTGAGATGTACAGCAAATTCCTGTTGGCTGCCCTGTTTGTTTTTAGGTGAGGTTGTGCAGTTTTCCAGAGAAGGCAATGACCCACTCCAGTATTCTTGCCTGGAAAATCCCATGGACGGAGGAGCCTAGTAGGCTACAGTCCATGGGGTCGCTAAGAGTTGGACATGACTGAGTGACTTCACTTTCACTTTTCACTTTCATGCATTGGAGAAGGAAATGGCAACCCACTCCAGTATTCTTGCCTAGAGGATCCCAGGGACAGAGGAGCCTAGTGGGCTGCTGTTTATGGGGTTGCACAGAGTCGGACACGACTGAAGCGACTTCGCAGCAGTGCAGTTTTCTGTGTCTCGGTAGTTGTGTATTATGAGCACTGCTGTGGAGCAAGCTGGGCTTTTACTGGTGCAAGAGGACCATTCTGCAAGATGGACTTAGTGGAGGTTGTTTTAGGCTCTAAAACAATGTGTCCTGGTCCCCTTGATGTCGACCATATGCAGGTTGCTAGATCATCCTGGAAAATCGCTTACCCAGAAAGGGTTTTCTGCATTTATTGGCTCAGTTAGGACCCATGGTCAGCTTCTCCACAGCCCAGCCCATCTGCCCCTCCAGGCTTCTGGGGCGTCTCCCATGTCTGAGCTCTCTGTGGCCCCCAGGTCACCACGTACAGGATCCTCGTCTTGACCATCAGTGTAAGACCCTTCCATGGAGGACCGGCTCTCAGAGCCCCCTTAAAGCCCACCTGTGTTGGCCTTCACTTCAGATGTGTCAGAAGTGGATGCAAAGCTCATCTACAATGAAGGTGAATCTGAATGTTTGAAAGGCTCCTGAAGAGAAACCACTGCACATAAATGTTTCATGAAGGAGGGTCGTCCAGAGCATAAGGTTGATATGCAGGTGAAAAATCATGTTTGTGGACACGTGTGTAATCCTCACACAGAATTCATGGCTGTGGCTCTGTCCAACCCCGACTCTGAGCCAGCAAGGGGGCACCTCGCCTGTGAACATCCACTTCTTTTGTGGAAAACCTGTGTAGAGAAGTGGTGAATTCACACCAAAGGCAACACACTATAGGGGGCTACATACAGCCTGTCGATTTTTGTGGAGGTGGGTGGTGGGGAATCCTGGAATTGGCACTTACATGTTAATTGTTGACTTTTCCTGTTTTTTTCTCTGACTTTAACAAACACCCTTCCATCAAACGACTTCTGAAGGTGAAAGTGTTAGTTGTGCAGTCCTGTCTGACTCTCTGAACTTGTGGACTGTAGCCCACCAGGGTCCTCTGTCCATGGGATTCTCTAGGCAAGAATACTAGAGTGGGTTGTGATTCCCTTCTCCAGGGGATCTTCCCAACCCAGGGAAGGAACCCAGGTCTCTTGCATTGTAGGTGGAGTCTTTACTGTCTGAGCCACCAGGGAAACCACATGACATTAAAATAATGATAAAACTGTCATCTTGTTTGGAGAACCATTCTTGTAGCCCCTCTGGCCCTTGCAGATGTAGAGACCTCGTACGGAGCCATGACAACTTGTCCTTGTGAAAGTATAGGACAGTGGGTCTGGGAAGGTGACAGGCTCTGGAAGTCACTGGTTCTTAGTGGCAGTGCCTGACGGTGGCTCCTCAAGGGAGACACATAACCTGGTCCTTCCCTTCCTTGCAGATACACAGTGGAGACGCGGATACCATCACACCCGGCCAGAAGCCTGGCTCCCTCGTGGAAAGTCTCTGGCTGCCAGCACCCCTGGGCAGGGATATGGCCTCAAGCCGGCTAGGGGCCAGGGGGCAGTGCCTCCGTTTGCTGAAGACGAGGGGCTTCTTGCTGCTGAAGCTCTTGGCCGCTATCTTGGCCGTGCTTCTCTTCTGTGAATTTCTGATCTACTACCTCGTCATCTTCCGGTGCAGCTGGCCCGAGCTGAAAACCCCTGAAGGTGCCGGCGCCCTTGGGGCCCCCAAGGCCCCTGAGCATGTGCTCAGGGCCATGTTCTTGGCTGACACCCACCTGCTCGGGGCCGTGAGAGGCCACTGGCTGGACAAATTACGGAGGTAACTTGGGCCGAATTCAGAGTTTTCAGCAGGTCTGTAGGCCTCTTCTCACAGGTGGGGTCTCACGGTTCCCCATCTATTTCTGTCTCCACCACCTCAAGTGCTTGTGGGCACTGGGTCACTTCCACCCTTTGACCTTTGTGGGTGACGCCACGAGAGGGTTGATGGGGGCACCTCCTGCCCCGGTGGCCCTGTCTCCGACCCCTTCTTGTCATCCTGGCTGCACTTGTGCCTCCCCAAACAGGCCTTACTCCTGGGGTGGGTGGAGCGTCCTGGGGCGCTGGGATATCCCAGGGTGGGGGTGGGGGAGGCCGGACAGATGAAGGCAGGGCTACTGTGTTTCCTCTCAGAGCTTTAAACCCTGGGAGGTGTGAGGTAGGCTAGAGCTGGGACACACCCACCCCTCCTTTCCTCTCGGCCTCCAGGGAGTGGCAGATGGAGCGAGCCTTCCAGACAGCACTGTGGCTATTGCAGCCGGAAGTCGTCTTCATCCTGGGGGATGTCTTCGATGAGGGGAAGTGGAGCTCGCCAGAGGTGGGCATGCGACCCCGCATCTGGGGCTGCACTGAGGTCCAGGGAGCCCAGGGTGTGCAGAGTCCTGGCGCTGGGCGCGGGGGCTGCAGTGTCCGAAGTCATAGGCTCCGTGTCCCCGGTCCTGGGTTCTGTTTGTCTGTGTAGGAGACGTCTGTGAAGGTTGGCAGATGCTTCCCATGACCCTCTCGGAAGGGAAGGTCCGCAGGAGGGAAGCATCTGGGTTGTCCCCAGAGTTCAGGATGCCCGCTGAAGTGTGGTTTGACTTAACACTTATGAGGCTGTGCTGCCTATGAGGTCATGGCCTTTTTCTGAGGGAGGTGGGGGGTTGCTGGTGGGAGATCCCTCTGCCCTCAGGTGAGACTAGGGCAAGGCTCTTCTCACGTTTGCTGGCAGAACTCTTGGCATACTGCATTCTTGGGATTAATGGGGGAAAGAAAAGCACCATTCTTGCTGCTTAGTTAAAAATGATCAGTCACTGATGGTTTGAAAAGTGAAAGTGAAAGTCGCTCAGTTGTGTCCGATTCTTTTTTTGTGTGTGTGTGTCCGATTCTTTGTGACCCTATGGACTATATAGTCCATGAAATTCTCCAGGCTGAAATACTGGAGTGTGTAGTCTTTCCCTTCTCCAGGGGATCTTCCCAACCCAGGGATTGAACCCAGGTCTCTGACATTGCAGGCACATTCTTTACCAACTGGCCATCAGGGAAGCCTGATGGTTTTGGAAGATATTTTAAAAAATTAACTGAAATTTGCTGGGACACTTCAAATGCTGTACAAAGAGTCCTGATTCAGATCAGATGGGAACCCCTGTTCATGGGGTTGCAATGTTGTTTGTTGTTCTTTCGTCACTAAGTTGTGTCTGACTTTCTGCGACTGATGGACTGCAGCACATCAGGCTTCCCTGTCCTTCACCATCTCCTAGAGTTTGATGAAACTCATGTCCATTGAGTTGGTGATGCCATCTAACCATCTCATCCTATGTTGCCCCCTTCTCCTTCTGCCCCGAGTCATTGGTTTCATCTAGTCCGGAACTAATTGTGAAACCATGGAAACACTGTGTGTAAAAAGCAACTGGTTGTAGAGTGAGCTTGGATATAAATGCTGCTTTAGAAAATTAAGGGGAACATGTTATATTTTTCTAATTTTATGTTTTTCTAACTTTAAGTATTATTTGTTAAAGTCTTTGTAAAGTACTGAAGGAATCTGTCCAGTTTATTTCTCTAGGTTGGGCCAAATTTAAGACTTTCGGACAAAGTTGACTATTGTTCAGCTAGGTATCATCCAGCCTAGAGTGTTTGTCCAGCTTGTTTTTAGGCTTAATAAAAATAAGGACTGAAACATCATCTTAGGCTTTAACAGTAAAGTCAGAAAAGCCTGGAGAGACCTTTTGGCTTCCTTCTTTCCCCCACGTCTTGTCGGTCCCCACTGCCCCCCCCCCCCCACCAGCCTCAGAGAGTGTAACCCTGAGGGAGGCACTGGCCCTCATTCCTGGGGGGCTCACCCTGAGCTTGATGTTTCTGTAGCCGTTTTTAGGACATGTCCCAATCTGAGGGGATCCTCAGCCTGGGGTCTGTGCGTGGCTGTCAGGAGACATTGAGGTAGCGGGTGTGTGAAGAGGATGGTTTGGGGAGATAAACTGTTTCATTCAACCTTGGCACCAGGTTAAATGGTTAGGTTCGTCTTGGGAAAAGAATGGTAGAAATTATGCACATTGGCTTTATGGATGCCTGATCCTGGCAGGAAGCGACCTTCCCATCCTCACAACCTGGCAGGGCGGTCCCCTGGGCTGAACTGTGCACTTTTCTCTGCAGGCCTGGGCGGACGATGTGGGGCGCTTCTGGAAGGTGTTCCGACACCCGCCTCACGTGCAGCTGCGGGCCGTGGCTGGCAACCACGACATCGGCTTCCACTACCAGTGAGTGGTCAGCGGAGGCGCCTTCCCCCTGCCCAGCCCAGGGGGGCCTTGCCTGTGGGGCGAGGTGCTGAGGGCTCCTGCACATCACTCACCAGTCCCACCACTGAGCTGTATGTGCCCCAGAGTGGTTCTCGCTTGAACTTAATGTTTTGTGACCCATTTTCTTTGGGAATCAGAAAACAAGACAATTTGGGCTTTAATAGCTGATGTTTACATGGCGCCGGCCTGTTGGGAGCACAGTGCTTTCGTACATTCAGTCTCTTTGTTTACCTGTTATTTTTATTGCTTTACCCACTCTACCAGTGAGGGAGCTGGAGCTCTAGGGATAAACTCAATCACCCTGGGCCCCAGATTCTGGACTCCAGGCCCCTGGCTGGACAGTGGTGGCAGCACCCTGCTTACCCAGGGTGAGTGGGAGCTCAGAACAACATGCTGGTTGGGCCTTCAGGTCCTGGATGTTATTTTTCCTGTGTTCTTGTTAATTCTGAGGATATTTTAAGAATGACTTGTCCTGAAAAATATTTCTTTTCACAATTGAATGTAGGATGGACACATACAGAATAAAACGATTTGAGAAAGTTTTCAGCTCTGAAAGGCTATTTTCTTGGAAAGGAATTAAGTGAGTATTATCTGTGAATTCTTAATGAAGACCCCTAGAATGTGACTTAAGAAAGTCTGGTCGTCTTCCAGATCATAGGGTTAATCGACTCCTGACCTCTGAATTCTTTAAACGCCAGGCACCTCTTTGTGGCCAGTGGACATGTGTGCAGGACACGATGGCACATTTAACGGGTCTGTGACGATGTCCCTGAGGGAGGAGGCACCAGGGCACCTCGCTGACCTGCTGTCATCTGGGTTTGGGCTCCTTGGCCCAGTTAGCTTTGCCGGTCCCCTTTCCCGCCTGCCCCCACCCCCCCCACCCCACCTGGTCTTAGGCTCTGCTCTGATGTCTTATTCCACATTACCCCCACAGGGAGCCAGGGCTGTGGTGGCTGTCATTTTCCCACCTTACATCCAAGGCCCAGGGACACAAGGTCAGGTGCTGAGTGTAGTGGTCACCTGGGGCCTCTTACTAGTTCAGGGTGGAAAAGCCTTTCCCGTCTTGGATTCGACTCCCAGAAATGCTGTCTTGTCCTCTTAGCATCGTCTGCAGCTGCAGGCACAGTGCAACAGGACTGGGATGTCTTCTCTGTGGGGTGCAGCTTCCGGGTCCCAGAGCACAGGTGCCCGCAGACAGCGCCAGTGCCCATGGTTTGACCTCCTGCCTCTCTGCAGTTTTGTGATGGTCAACAGCGTCGCGCTGGAAGGGGACGGCTGTGACATTTGCTCCAGGGCAGAGGCTGAGCTCCTGGAAATCTCTCATTGGCTGAACTGCTCCCGGGAGGTAGGACACCCCCCAACCCCTACCCCACTCTGGGGGCATGGCCATCCCTGCTTCCCCCTCCCTCCCACCGTCCAGTGTCCAGTGAGTGAAGAGCCTGGGCTCTGACCTGTAGGAGCATTGCCCCCGCGGGTGCAGAGACAGACAGCGGCTGCCGGCCTCAGCCCCCATCCTGCTACAGGTGAGGGGTCCCCACCTGGTGGCCTACAAGTGTATGGGGGAAGCGCTGGGTCTCACGGTCCCCTGACCCCTCTCTGGTCTGGACAGCACTTTCCGCTTTACCGGAGAAATGATGCCAACTGCTCTGGGGAGGACGCAGCGCCCCCCGACGAGAAGTACACCCTCTTCAAGGAGCGCTATGACGTGCTGTCCCAGGAGGTCTCGCAGAAGGTGAGCGGGGACGTAGGGATGCAGGGATGTAGGGTGGGGCAGGTGGCGCCTACACAGGCATTTCGTCCTCTTCCCCCGTGGGAAACCCACACCTGTTCCTAAGATCTGGGTGATGATAGTCTCAGCCCTTGTTTATTCTGTTTCCCACCAACATGTATCTAGGACAGTGAATGAGACTGAAGAGTAAAGTCTTTAAGACTTAATCAGAATGTCCTTCCTAAATATATTACACAGTAATATTTGTATACTGTATGGTGTATGTAATATATAAAACAAAATATACATTTGTGAAATGGATTTATTAAAATATTTATAAAAAAAGAAAATTTAATTAAAACCATGCAATCTGGGATGGAAAAATAGATTCTCCCTGAGAGCCTGGGTTACTTTTGATGGCATCTGAACAGACTTGAGGACTTGAGGGCAGAGGGAGCTGGGTGTGTGTCCCCAGGCCCCAGCGACCTCTCACTGCCTTCACTGCCACCACAGCTGCTGTGGTGGCTGCGGCCGCGCCTGATCCTCAGTGGCCACACGCACAGCGCCTGCGAGGTCCAGCACGGGGCAGGCATCCTGGAGGTCAGCGTGCCGTCTTTCAGTTGGAGGAACAGAAACAACCCCAGTTTCATCATGGTATGTGAATGTTTATTTTCGTCTCAAAGCTTCCACAGTATTTAAATCAGCACAGTGATCACCTAGTGAATTGCAGCATGAATTGCTGCAATCTGTGAAAACATACAGAAGCTGTAACCACACCCCTCCCAGCACACCCAGCAGCGTGAACCCCTCTCGGGGGACAGTTGTTTCTGGTGGGGTGGTGAGGGGACCATCTCACAGTGTCTTGTCCGGCAAGGACAGCAGTGCCCCGGGAGCTCTGCCTTGTGTTTTCTAAGGAGATAGGGTCATCCTGTCTTATTTTCCACACATGCCTATTTGTGCTGATAGACAGATGCTGCGGGTCTTGTACGTTTTTCAGGGACATCAGTGATGACCTAAAGCTTCAGCTCCTTTCTTTGAGCCCTGAGTCCATGTCCAGGTAATAGTGCTTTCATATCAGGAGTTTTTACTTAATAACAAGATGGGGAAAACATGCTTTCAAATTGAAAGTAAAAGAACGTTCCCCACCATCATTTCACACAGCAAAATTGTCTACCAAAAAAAAAGGCCCATTGAAATGCCCCACGCACATGCATTTCTAGGTGATAGGTTGCTTACTTCAGCATCAAGTGGCATGAAAAACAGCTGTGTCATCTTTGTTCCTGGATGACCACTGATCTAAGTTTCCAGGCCTCTCTGAATCCTCTCCTGCATGGCCTCTGGGTTTAGAGGACCTCCCCACCCCATATTAGGTGCTAGATTCAGTGGGGGATCAGCTCCCAGGCCATGTGCACTCAGCCCCCGGGGACCCAGCATGTGGGATGGCGGCAGTGTGGCCTGCAGTGTCCTTGGTCTCAGGTTCGTTGGGCCTAGCGGCTCACTCCCTTGCTCCTGTCTGCGTGTTCGTGCTATCCGGGCAGCTGATGGTCTTGCTTGCTCCCCAGGGCAGGATCACGCCCATGGACTACGCCCTGGCCAAGTGCTACCTGCCACGCGAGGACATGGTTCTGACCACGTACTGTGTGGCAGCTGGGTGCCTCATGCTCATCACGTTAATCCCCACTGGGCTTGTGTCTGCACCTTTTCATTTTGGTCGGAGGGTGCTCAGAAAATTTAAGACCATGTGAGTAGCAGCAGACTTTTGCTGTTAGCAGTATTAAATCCCAAAGCCAAAGAAAAGAAACTTTGGGCGGTGCTCATGGACGATGAGACTACAGTGGGCTGTGGGCACCACTCCTGGCTTCCGGATCACTTGTGTCAGGCCCTGCAGGATCAGTGCTGTTCCCAAGCTGCAGAAATGGGACCTGTCTCTACACCGGGTCTGTCTGCTTGTTTAACAAGTGTGTGTGTTATCAGAGACTCTGTACAGTGTGCAGAAGCTGCGTGTGATCCCTGGCATGCACTGGACAGCCTCCCTTACCCAGGACTCTTTCCCAGGATGGAGGGCCAGCTGTACACATATGTGGGGTCTGCGTCTGCCCTCCTGTGAATGTTCTCAAGTTTCTGTTTTATAAAGTCGTGTGCTTAAAATACATATGCTACAAGCAAGAATATATTGTTTTCACAGACTTCTTTATTTCTGTGCTAAATTAACGGAATCCGATTTTTAGATGAGTATAATTTCCTCTCCAAGTTGTTAAATCTGATTGAATGCCTGTCAGTGATCAAAAGAAACTAAAAAAAAATGGACCAGGAAGAGGCTTTTGGTATTTAAAAATAAATATGCCGTGGTAGTTTTAAGCCTCATAAAATCTGTGTGTGTTTGAGAGAATCTAGCTCTTCAATCAGACTTCTCTAAATAGGAAGTCTAGTTACAGGGGAATTGTTGAATTATAATTCATATAAAAATAGTTTCATTCTTTTGGGTATATAGTGGGACTGTAGCTCTTCAGATTCTCTTCATGTTGTACTGTGAAAATGCAATGGAAAACTGAAGATTGTGTCCCCTTTGTAAGTCTCAGTTCATCTGAGAGTTTAATGGAACAATCAAGGATGGCAGGAGCCGAAATTCAGTGATAATGATTCAAAATATGTGATGGTGCACTGTCTGTAAAAGCTGTCATCCTTTATTTCATGGAAAACTAGTGTGTAAATGTGGATGAGTTTACAAAAGATTGTAAGATGCTGCTTTAGAGAGTAAACTTTAAAACATTAAAGACCATAAAGACGAAATGGAAGTTAATGTCGGCATCCATGTTGTTGAGATATGACCTCAGACAGTTTTAACAGGTTATCCTTGACCTGAGAGCACCAGCCTTGGGGCGGTGGACAGACGAGGCTGGCTTTTGAGGTCTTGTGCTGGATGGAGCTCACAAGGCTGCATTTGCAGATCTTTCAGGGTTGAGGAACAGCTGTATCTGTGTTTCAAATAAAGGTTTTGTCGTGTTTCTTCTTCAAAAGGCAAATCAGAGTCTGTCCTTTGACTCCCCACAGGCCAGACACAGCCTGAAACCCTTGTCTTTTCCTTGCTATTTATTTATGATGGGACCTGTGCTCAAGGAAGTAGTTCAGAAACTTTGACTAGGGGAACAGGTGGCCTTGAAAAAGCCTTTAAATAGCCAGATAATGGAGAAGTATGTTTTCTGGATAGAAAAATGTCCCTGGTTCCCTGAAAGAGGCTTGTGGGCATGGCATTCTGTGAGAGGTGGAGGATTACTGTGTGTCACTTACAAATATTTATATAAACGTATATACACATATCTATCGATCAATGAGTATTATAAAGAGTACCAGCCTGATAAACCCCTAAGCTCTACATACACCATTTGTTCTCTTCCTCAAAGCAAGTGCAGTGATGAGGATGACTGTTCAGCACGACAGAAACACGTTTCTTTACAGGGACAGCCACAGTCAAGGCACGAAGATCTATAGGGATTTTCCTTGAGTAGTTAGTTATCAAAATAATATTACATCTTGTGGTCTGTACAGTGTAATAAACCAGCAATAAAACAGCAACAGGAAGAACCTATTACAGGAGGTGCTGCCACAGCAGTGGAGTCTGGGGGACCACAATGGATGGGACTCATGTTAACTGGAGGAACGTGGCCCCAGTGAGTGGGGGCTTTCTGCTGACACGTGGAAGATCAAAGGGCTCCAGCAACAAGGCTGAAGCTGGCCTCCCCTGGAGATGGAACTGAACCTCACTGCGGCTCAGGGTCTCCCCTGAGTCGGGGGCCCATCGGATCAGGAAGCATGCCTGAGCTATCGTGTCTCCCCATCTTCCAACTTCTCCACGAGTCAGGGGGCCCCCACCCCTACACAGACCAGGGTTGGGGAAGGAATGGGGACAGAGGTGGCTGGGGGCCCGGTGGTCAGGAGAGCCCCGCAGACAGCCCCAGGGCGGATGAACGGGACTCCTTGAGTCGTGCCAGGCGAGACTGGGATGGGGGGGCGGGGCGGGGGCGGGGCAGCGGGGTGGGGTCTCACAGGAGCTCGTACTGCTTGAGGTGCATCCGCTGGATGATGTCCCTGCAGTCGTTGAAGACACGGCGGATGTTCTCCGTGTCCACGGCGCACGTGAAGTGAGGGTAGCAGTAGTGCTTGCCGTCGCCGGTGGCCGTGCTGATACGCTGTGGGGACACAGCCGTCAGCTCCGGGGTGGGGGGACGGGGGTGCTGGGATAGGGGGTGTCTGTGCCAGGGTTGAGCTCCCCAGAACCCCCTTTCTATGCAAATTTGAAATAGCTCAGAATACAAAGTTTCTTTTCAAAATGAGGACATTTAAACCTGAGTGGGTCTGTTTCTATATGACCCATGAGCCGAGGGGGAATAAACTCGCCCCCCACTCCCCCGACTCCGTCCCTTTGGGAAAAGGCGACACACGGATGGGTGGCTATCTCGGGGCCGCCCTGGGGCCTGCACCCTGACCGGTGCTGCTGACAAGCCGTGTGACCTGAGGTCATAAGTCCACGTCTCGGAGGGTCGACGGGGTCATCACTCCGGGGAGAGGACAGGGGGAGAGGAAAGGAGGCGTGGGAGGCTGAGCGCAGAGCCTTGCAGGCCGTGCAGGCCGAGATAGGGGGAAGGCAGAGGGTGGGGAAGCGCTCACCAGGAACAGGTCCCGGATGAAGAACTTCGCTCTCGTGACTTTGGGGTCTTCTCCCGCATCCGGCGTCGCTGGAGGAGATGAAAGGAGCTTTAAGAGCCGTGAAACGGCTACAGCTTAACGGAGGGCATGAGAGGCGAGGGCCTTCGGCCATGCAGCCGAAATCTTCCTTCCTCCTCCCAGGTCATTTTGATTTTAGTAGTGGTTGGCGTCTGCTGCTGGGAGACGACGTCCACTCACATCAGATAAGTGTCTCACTGACGGGGGAGCCCTGCCCCCCGACTACCTGCACCCCCAGGTCGTCCTGCGGCCTCATCCTGAGACCTTCCCAGGAAACGTGTTGACCAGACAGGGTGAGGGTGTCAGGAGGCTGGTTTCCCGGAGAGGTCAGAGCAGGCCTGGCCTGTGAGGTGGACAGCGACCCCACCACATGGTGGGCAGCGTGGGGCCGAGGTGCTGCCTCTGGGCAGCTGCTCCCGGGCCTAGGGAGCCCCCGCCAGGCTGGCTGAAATTGGTGCAGAGACCTAGGCGGGTTTCTTCCCTTCTAACTGAAGTCTCTGGGAAAACCCCCTCATTCTGCTTCATCCCGTTTGGGACTAAACCATGAGGAGTGGGGTTATTGTGTTCTAAGCAAACCCCTCCTTGCAGACTCGGGGCGGGATGGGGGGTGGCCCAGGAAACTCAAAACCCAGAAACAGTCCCTGAAAAGGGGCACAAATCCTCCAAGGTTTGCCGGATGGGACCTTCTAGGCTACAGCACTGACTGACTCCTGGGACAGTTGGTTGCCTGATGAAGTCACCGTGCTGTGGCTGGAGTCATCGCTGGGGACAGAGGCCTGGCTCGGGCAGCTTAGACAGTGGCTCCCTCAGTCTGTGCGGGTCAGCAGGCAGGCCCACGTGGACCGACCCACATAAGCCCAGGAGGCAGAGTCTCTGTCAACCCTCACCCACACCAAGCTGCCCTCCCTCCGCCTGCCCAGTGTGGACCAAGTCAGACTGAAATTTTCACACATGGGACCCTATGGACACTTGAATGCTCTAGTAGCTTAGAGTGGGCAGGGGTCAAGAAGATGGATCTAAATTAACTGAATTTCCCAGATTCATCAGAATTGGGAATTACAGTCATAGTGCTGCTGAAAGAGCAATTCTTTCCCATAATTCCAAGATAACTTGTTTCAGAATCTTACCGTCTTCAGGAACAGTATAATTTGCGTACTCTGGGAAATAGTCTTCAATTTTTGATTTCCCTGCCAGCACTTTTTCTGCCAGCATATCCTGTTTGTTCAGGAACAAGATGATGGAAATGGTGCGCAACCACCTGGAAGGAGAAGCAAGCACACAGATGCAGGTCCTTGGCAGGAGCAGGGTGAGGTGACCTGCCACCCTCTGGACGAGGTGTGGGGCTTGGATTTCTCGACAGCCCGGCACCTCGGCCCCCACTCCATCTGCATGCAGGACACTCCCATAAGGATAAACTCTCCACTAGGATAACTCTGCTCCACCAGGCTCTACTGGCACCAAAACTAAGCTTCATGTAGGGAGTAAGTGCACTCGGATTTGTGTGGTGTAATTTACTAGTGAAAGTGAAGTTGCTCAGTCATGTCCGACTCTGCGACCCCATGGACTGTAGCCTACCATGCTCCTCCGTCCATGGGATTTTCCAGGCAAGAGTACTGGAGTGGGTTGCCATTTCCTTCTCCAGAGGATCTTCCCAACCCAGGGAAGGGTTAGAAAAGCAGGGAAGTTAAAGCTCCATCAACAGAACAGAGAGGTGGGCATCTGGGGCTATCGGTTGAGGGGCTGGCATGTGGGGGGTCTGAGTGGGGACCCATCACTTGGCTGACAAGCCGCGGGAGGGGCTCAGGGGTCATCTGGTCATCAATGGATGCTTTGAATGGGTGCTTTCTGAATGCTAAAATCCAAACAAGGTCAATTTTGAACCATATATATGCCTTTGAGATTTCCAACGTAGAGATCTGGATTTTTCTGACCGAGTCCTATCAGTTCCACCCCCATCGAAAGTCTCCACATTAGATGGGCTGGAAGGGATGCTGCTTATGGTTTGAGATTTATCAAGAGGAAAGACTCCCTCGGAAAACATAGATGGCCATGCTGAGCAGCATTAGCTCTAAACCCAGGGCAAGGTCTAGTTCACCACCTCTCACCTGTTGTTCCAGATGCTCTCGAAAAGGTCCAGTGACTCCCGCAGGCGGTTGGTGTTGTTGTCTTCCCGGATGACCATGTTGTAGCTGCTGCAAGCGGCCACATAGATGATAGCAGTGACGTCTGGGTGGGGAAGAGGGGCACCTGGGTGACTCACAGCAGTGATGCTCCATGTCTCCAGGGAGAGCTCCCTCAGTGACAGCACTGGTGACCCCGGTCCCCAAAGCAGCAGGGACAATGTGACCCAGGATGCCGGACTCCCGTGTCCAGGGGACCCTTGGTCGAGGCGCTTGATGATGAGCTAGTGGGAAGCAGCGGGAGTGGAGGTGGGTTCATTCCCATTTTCTTGAGAGAGTGGAGAACTCACCATTGAAGCACTGGATCCATTTTCTTCTCTCATCCCTCTGGCCTCCGACATCAAACATGCTGGGGAAGAATGGGGTTGGGGGGTTAACCAGGGGTGGTGGATGCTCCTCCTTTGCTGCTCCCCCACCTGGTCCAAGGCTCTCCTCGCCTAGTGACGTTGTGGACTGGCCCCACGGGGCCTCCCTGGTCTGGCTCTGGTGGGTGTCCACACCCAGTGTTTCTCTCCTCCCGGCCCTTGCCCTGTGGTCGGTCAGTATCTCTCGGCTCTTGTCCTCCCGGGGCAGCCCCCTGCCTGCGTCCTACTCCTCTGCACCTGCCCAGGCTGGCTCACCCTCTCAGCATGTGGAGCTCAGGTACCTTTCTCCCCGCACTGACCACCTGCACTCCAGGGTGTGCACGGGCTGTGGCAGTACCTGCCCGCCCAGGATGACCCACCGCCCAGGCCCAGGGGTTCTGCCCACGCACTTACTGGAAGTTGACTTTGTCCACTTGGAATCTGGTCTCGAAAATCCCTGAGGTCAGAACTCTGCACCTGAGGAGGTCCTGGGGGCAGAGAGAGGGGAGCAAACCCAGTGACCCTGTCCTTAGGAGTTGTCCTGGGGCAGAGAAGGGAGCAGACCCAGAGACCCCGTCCTTTAGGAGGTGGCCCTGGGGCAGCCACAGGCCGTGAAGTTCTTTCCATCAGAAAAGGAAATTAAACACTTGACAGACATTCTCGGGCTCACTCCCCAGAGAAAGTCACAGTTATGTGTTGGTCTGGTTTATAGTCTTGATGGCTTAGCTTTCTTTCTTTTAGGAATTTCTTCTAATCTCTCCTGCGCGTCCTCTACTGACACAGGTCCCTGACAGCCGCCTGGGGTCTGGGGAGCAGGGCCTGTCCTGCTGGCTCTTGCTCGGGCCTGTCCTGCTGGCTCTTGCTCCAGGTCAGGTTCCCGTGGGTGCTGGCTGGTTTCACACTCTGTCTTCTCCTGTATTTCTAGTCTCTAACATAAAAGATGCTGTATTCCCAAGGGGATGAGAAGGCAGTACGGTTTCACAATCCGACACCTCTGCAGGCCAGTCAGGTGTCGGTGTTTCTTTGCCGGTGACCAAATCCATTAGGATGTCAATCAGCCACTGCAGAATCCAGAACTGGGGGGACAGTGGCCCCTCTGAACTGATGAGGAGTCTGAAGACAGACTCCAGGGGCTCAAGGCCCGGGGAACAGCTCCTGGGTCAGCCTCACAGAGGGATGGATGCTGGGGTGGGTGAGGAGCCCAGACCTCTGGGTGGTGGGAGGCAGGGAGGAGAGACCCTCCAGTCTTCCCAGGTTTGGGCTGTGGTTGTGGCCCGACCCCACCTACCTGGTCTGTGGGTGTGTAGTCCACCAGGCTGACACTGTCGATTCTCTCCAGGAAGCTGGAAAAAAAGCAAGACATGCTGGGAATGCCTCTGGGCTGGGAGGCAGGTGCCCATGTTTGGGGGGCCCCCTTGAGCCCAGGGGACCTGGGAAGCCATGGACCAGCAGGTTCACGCTTTATTCCTCAACACACGTCTCCCCAGCAGGTCATGTCCTCACGGTGCTGAGCGGGTGCCAGACCCTTCCCTCCCTCCTTTCTTCCCCTGTGCAAGACTGGGGTCCTTGCAAGGTTGAGCTGGTGGATGGCCGCTGTGCAGGCACATAAAAGGCCAGACTGGCCCAGTAAGACCGGGGTTCAGTGGGAGTCGGGTGTGCACAGGCTGAGCCTGAGTGGGGGGATAGTCTGCTCCCCATGGTCCAATGCATCACTGGTGGAGGGCTGGAGGGAGGGCAGGACACGGCATGTGTGGGTCCTCCCACCCCCCACCCCCATTCACGTCCACCTTCATGCCCACCCAGCTTTCTCTTCCTACATAGCGCTTACTACCACCTGACAGGTTCTACACATATTTGTCTACTATCTGTCTCTCCCTCTGAATTCAGGACCCACCATTCTGTCCCATTGGATGGGTTTCCCCAGCACCTGGCTCGGCCCCTGCGTGTCTCTGGGATGAGGCGAGCAGGTGCTGTGAGGCTTGGGAGGACACGGGGGGACCTAGGGGATACAGGGGGACCCTGGAAGACATGGAGCTGGTAACCAGTGAGCACAGGACCATGTTCCGGGTGGGAGGAGCAGAGCGTGTGAGGACCAGGAGGGGAGTGGCCCGACATTCCTGCTGAATGGCTCAAGCCCACTGCTCTGATGTGGAGTAAAGCCACGGAGGCTTCCCCTCAGCCTGTGTGCTCAGGAGCTTCTGCGCAGTGATGGGTGGGCACCTCCCCATGGCCACAGCAGCCTCCCCGGCCAGCACTGCAGGCCCTGGAGCTGCTTCCTGGAGGAGGGGCTCAGGAGAGGACACCTGATAGCTCAGCCTGGTGTGAAAACCACAGTGGGGTTTGGCCCAGTCCTTGCTGGCCTTGTATCTGGTGCATCAGAGGGCCCTCAAAGTCCACCCTGACCACCTCACGGGGAAGGAACAGGGCAAGAGCCTTGTGTCTGTGATGGAGGGGGAGAGGTGTCTACACAGTGGTGGTGGGGCTCCGGACTCTGGGGGCTCTGGCAGGGGTGGGAGATGAGCCGCCTCCCTCCCCACTGCGGGGCTGTGATAACTTGAGGCGGTCCTCCTTTTAGCAGGGAAATCTAACATGAACATGTGACAGATGCTGATCCTCTCTGAAAGGGCTGGAAGGAACTGAAAATCAGACCAGGCAGGAAGTCCTTCAGCTCCAGTCAGAGTTTAGGGGGCACCCACTTTCACACTGGATGCAGACAGAGAGGAGGAGGTGAGTGAGTCTATTAGATGGCAGTGACTGGTACAAGTAGAAACAATGAAATGTGGTCAACAAAAAAGACATCAAGCCTTCCTGAAAGATCAGAGACCACCATCCCAAGGCGGATGCTGTAGGAGTACCCTCCTGACACAGACATAGGAAAGCTGTCCCTCACACCCCTACTCCTGAGCCCAGGCATGGGTGTTAGGGTTCTTCCATGCATGCGTGCTAAGACGCTTCAGTCGCGTCTGACTCTTTGCAACCCTTAGGACCATAGCTGGCCAGGCTCCTCTGTCTGTGGGATTCTTCAGGCAAGAATACTGGAGTGGGTTGCTATGCCCTTCTCCAGAAGATCTTCTGAATCCAGGGATTGAACCTGTGACTCCTGTCTCCTGCATTGGCCGGCGGGCTCTTTACCACTTCCACCTGGGATCTGACAGGCATCAGTGAACATTTTCCAGGCATCTTCTGAACTGTCACTGGTGCAGGATGGTCCTCTGAGTTTACATTTGTGCCACAGAAGCTGCAAATCCCCCCAGATGGCTGAGAGCCTAAGGAGTAAAAACTATAGCAGTCAGTTTCTGCAGGCTTTCCACCTTAATCTTTGGTTCAACTGGTGTATTACCCACATGGTGTAGAAGGACTTCTTAAAATTGGGGCTCCTAAAATAATATATAGAACAAGAATTTTAAAAGAACTTCCCAAATTATGCAGTTTTGTGACTAAAATTTTTTATGGTTTTTTAAAAAAGATTTATTTTTGGCTGCACTGGGTCTTCATTGCTGCATACTGGCATTCTCTAGTTGGGGAGAGCAGGGGCTCCTGTTGTGGCACACAGGCTCTAGGTACACGGCATCAGTAGTTTTGGCTCATGGGCTCAGTAGTTACAGCACTTAGTTGCTCCTCAGTGTATGTACCAGGGATTGAACCTATTTCCCCTGCACTGGCAGGCAGATTTTTAACCACTGGACCACCAGGGAAGCCCATGACTAAATTTTAAAGGGTTGACTCCCTAAACACACCACTGCCTGTGATGTGGAAAAATTCACAAGATCTGAGAGTCCCACTTGTAGACCTTTCACTCCCACTAGACACAGAGCTGCAAGACAAAAACAAGTTACTATTGTAGAGTCACTCCCATCACAGTCACTTTAAGAAAAGCAGTTAAAGAGCAATTTACTGTGCTCTTTTAACTGCTTCCTACTACAGCTGAGGATAGTTCTGTTTGCAGAGTGTTTTTACTCTGGACACTGGGATCCCCTTCTGCTGCATCCTGGCACAAGACAGCCATTCACTGCTCTTTTCTCCTCTGTTGGCCGCCCCACCCCAGTATCTCAGAATTGCAGAGTTCTTCTGGCTGGGGGGTGGGGGTGGGGGGATTGTAAAAACATGAAACTATTCTGTTAAATGCCTTTGAACAACTGGTACCAAAGACATTTAAATAAAATGTACTTAAAATGATTTGTTTTGTGAAGAATGCAGCAGGTCAGAACTCGGACAAATTGAGTAAAGCCTTTTCTCGGTGTGTTATCAAAATTCACTTCAAGATGCTTATTTACTGGATGGAAAAACACTGGAGGAAAGTGTTAACCAGAAGTGACAGCAGCCTGCAGCAGGGCTGAAACCGAGGCTACATAAGTGGTCCTTGACCAGAGCTGGGGCTTGGGAGTTGCAGCCAAGTCACAGTTGGGGTGGACGAGTGACCCTTGTGCCCCCACCCAGGTTGTCCCTGCCCCTCACCTGCAGGGCACACCTGCTGACTCACATCCTGCTCTTCAGGGAGTGAAGTTCACATTGAATCGGCCTCCACACCTCTGCGATCCACCCCACTTCTTCCCTGTTCCCAGTGGTGTCAAACCTTCCACCCCAGTCAAATCCACATGGAGATTTTCGGCTTTTCAGACCTTTATGTAATCCCCACTTTTTTTTCCCCTTGGCAGCCTCAGATTGAACCCAATCTCTTCTAAGAAGCCAATTCCAGAGAACAGAATCAACAGCCCAGCAACAAACCCATAACATAAGAGACAACTAATTTATGACAAAGGAGCAAAGAACGTACACTGGAGAAAGGATGGTCTCTTTAAGAACTGGTGTTGGGGAAACTGGACGGCTCTACGGAAAATAATCAAACCAGACTGCTACCTCACACCCTACATAAAAATCAAACTCAAAACAGATTAAAGACTTGAATGTAAGACCTGAAACCACAGAATTCCCAGAAGCAAGCATAGGCCATGTTCTCTAGCACTGGTCTCAGTAATTTTTCTTTCTGGATGTCTCCTCAGGCAGGGGGAAGAAAAGCAAAAATAAACAAAAGGGACTGCATCAACCTAAGAAGATTTTGCACAGCGAAGGAAACCACCAGCAAAACAAAAAGACAGCCTACCAGATGGGAGGAGGTATCTGTAAATCATGTGTCTGATAAGGGGTTAATAATCACAATATATAAAGAACTCATAGAACTCAGTAGCTAAAAACAATCCAATTAGAAAATGACACTGTCACTGGGGGGCTCTGGGTGGGGTCAGGAGCAAGAAAACTCAGGGGAGGTCTGAGTTCAAATGGACCATCAGCCGGGAGCCCACCGAGCTGGGCACCATCCAACGCCCAGGGATGGTAACCCAGATTTACCTGTCCTGCTCCAGACGGAACCTAAGCATCTGGCTGTAGGAAAACGAACCTGGTAAACCAGGCAGGCTGGTTTCATTCCAACCAGCTGATTAAAAGACGACACAGAGGCCTGTTCATCAGTGTGTTTGATGTCCATGGGCTTGAAGCTTGTTGCCAGCAGCACCTGAGGTCCTGAGCTCTGGATTCTGGCTGTGGAAACGCCTCCAAGAGGGTGTTGTAGCTGCTGCAGGTGTCTTGCTCACGCTCAACAGGTTGAGGTGGCCTGGCTGATCCCTAGACTATGTTCAGTGAATGGGGTGGTCGGACTGGCGCTTACTTTAGGGGGTGCTTTTCCAAATCAAATATGGCAGGGTGGGCATGTGACACCCCCACCTGAAGGGCACACCAGCACTAAGGCTCCTTTAGGGAGAAGCAGCTTTAGTAAGAAGGGTCTCCAACAGCACACTTCTCATCTGAACTGAAATAAACTGAACAGCTCATAAAGTGAACTTAAAAGTTTATTCTAAACCCATCTGGAAACTGCATTTGAAGGCAGAAAAATACAAAGGCGAAATAAGAGGAGAAATTGGACTAGTGGTTACATGGAAGAGGAACCATTTCCTTGGTTATGTTTGAGCTGGGCTTAGCCTGGGGCAGTTTCAATGAGGAATCTTGTTGCCTTGAAGAAACTATTACAGTAAAGAAGTTAATGACCTGGGCTTCTAGAAATGGGCATGCAAACAGAAATTCAGGTGCTAAAACTGAGTCCATAAAAATACTATGCTTTCTGAACCAAATCAACCTCCGAATCATTTTTCCTTAAATAGTTTTGTAAACAGCATGTATACTCATGTGCAATAACATGCAATTTAAAATGATTTATTTGACAAACTTTTGTGGTTCATATTCCAGCATTTCATCAACTGCAAAAGTGAGGAAATAATTCGTGGGCCTGATATGCTTTTGAAAATATGTATGTTTTATAAAAATGTACATTCATGTAGTTTGAAATGAACAT